CAGCAAATACACTGAGGTGACGCTGGGATCGCAAATACACTGAAGGGGAGCTGGCTCGCAAATACATGAAGGTGCGCTGGCTCAGAAAAAAAAAATGAAGGTGACGCTGGACCAGAAATACACGAAGGTGACGCTGGACTCAGAAAAAAACTGAAAGGGGACGCTGGACTCAGAAAAAACATGAAGGTGACGCTGGACCCCGCAAATACATGAAGGTGCGCTGGTCGCAAATACATGAAGGTGACGCTTGGAAATCAGAAATACCTGAAGGTGAGCTGGGTCAGCAAATACATGAAGGTGACCTGGATCAGCAAATACAGGGTGACGCTGGACTCAGCAAAAACATGAGGTGGTGGACTAGAAAAAACATGAAGGGGGGAGCTGGGCTCAGAAAAAACACTTGAAGGTACGCTTTAACGCAATAACTGAAGGTGACGCTGGGCTCAGCAAAAACATGAAGGTGCGTGGATAGCAAAAACACTGAAGGGGCGCTGGACTAGAAATACATGAAGGTGACGTGGACTAGCAAATTTCATGAAGGTGCGTGGATCGGGAAATAAATGAAAAGGGGAGTGGATCAGCAATACATGAGGGGACGTGGACTCAGCAAATACCTGAGGTGACGCTGGACCGCAAATAACTGAAAGGTGACGCTGGATCAGAAATACATGAAAGGGGACGCGGACCAGCAATACATAAGGTGACGTGGACTCACAAAAACACTGAAGGTGACGTGGGATCAGAAATACACTGAAGGGCGCTGGCCAGAAAAAAATGAGGTGGCGGAATAGCCCAAATCATGAAGGTGAGCTGGATCAGCAAAAACATGAAGGGAAAGCTGGATCAGCAAAATTTTCACTGAAGGTGCGTGGTCAGCAAATACACTGAAGGTGACGTGGGGCTCGCAAATACACTGAAGGTGACGCTGGGGCTCGCAAAAACATGAAGGGACGTGGACTCAGCAAATTTCACTGAAGGTGACGCTGGATCAGAAATACATGAAGGTGCGTGGATAGAAATCACGAAAGGGGACGCTGGGGCTCAGCAATCAATAAAGGGAACGCGGACCGCAAATACTGAAGGGGACGTGGACTCAGCAAATAACTGAAGGTGGGCGCTGGACTCAGCAAATACCTGAAGGTGAGCTGGATCAGCAAAAAAACAATGAAGGTGACGCTGGACTCAGCAAATCACTGAAGGTGACGCTGGGCCCCGAAATAAATGAAGGGGGACCTGGACTCGCAAATTCCCGAAGGGACGTGGCTAGAAAAAACACTGGAGGTGACGCTGGACTCAGCAAATAACTGAAAGGTACGTGGATCAGAAATACATGAAGGTGCCTGGACTCGCAAATCACTGAAGGGACGTTTGGACTCAGCAAAAACATGAAGGTGACGTGGATCGCAAATACATGAAGGTGACGCTGGATCAGCAAATACCGAAGGTGGCCCGGACTCAGCAAAAACACTGAGTGGCTGGACTCGCAAATACACTGAAAGGGGGACGCTGGACTCAGCAAAACCTGAAAGGGGACGCTGGATCGAAAAAACACTGAAGGTGCGCTGGATCAGAAATAAATGAAAGGTGACGTGGGCTCAGAAAAAACACTGAAGGTGAGCGGGGCTCAGAAAAAAACACTGAAGGTGACGTGGGTCAGGAAAAAAAACTGAAGGGGACGCTGGATAGCAATACACTGAAGGTGCGCTGGATCCAAATACATGAAGGTGACGCGGACTCAGCAAAAACACTGAAAGGGGACGCTGGACTCGCAAATACATGAGGTGAGCTGGACTCGGGAAAATAACTGAAAGTGACGCTGGACTAGCAAATTAATGAAGGTGACGTGGATCAGCAATACACTGAAGGGACGCTGGACTAGCAAATACATGAAGGTGAGTGGACTCAGCAAATACATGAAGGTGACGCCGGACTCAGCAAAACACTGAAGGTGACGCTGGCTCGCAAATACTGAGGTGACGCTGGCTCGCAAATACCTGAAGGTGAGCTTTTGGGTCAGAAATACACTGAAGGTGACGCTGGACTCCAAATACCTGAAAGGGGACGTGGCTAGAAATACATGAAGGTAAAGCTGGACTCGAAAAAAAAACTGAAGTGACGCTGGACTCAGCAAATACACTGAAGGTGACGCTGGACTCAGCAAATACACTGAAGGTGACGCTGGACTCAGCAAATACACTGAAGGTGACGCTGGACTCAGCAAATACACTGAAGGTGACGCTGGACTCGAAAAAACCTGAAAGGGGACGCGGGCTCCGCAATACACTGAAGGTGCGCTTTGGGCTCGAAAAAACACTGGAGGTGGAGCTGGACTCAGAAATACATGAAGGTGACGCTGGACTCAGAAAATCATGAAAGGGGCGCTGGACTCAGCAAATACATGAAGGTGCGCTGGAATCAGAAATACATGAAAGGTGACCTGGACTCAGCAAAAAACATGAAGGTGACGCTGGACTCAGCAAATACCTGAAGGTGCGCTGGACTGCAAATACATGAAAGGTGACGCTGGACTCAGCAAATAACTGAGGTGCGCTGGACTCGCAAATACATGAAGGTGACGTGGGGCTCAGCAAACATGAAAGGTGACGCTGGAAAATCAGCAAATACACGAAGGTGACGCTGGGCTCAGCAAATCCTGAAGGTGACGCTGGATCAGCAAAAAAACACTGAAAGGGGACGCTGGACTTTAGCAAATACCTGAAAGGGGCGCTGGCTCAGAAAAAAACCTGAGGTGACGCTGGCTCGAAAAACTGAAGGTGACGCTGGACTCAGCAAATACACTGAAGGTGACGCTGGACTCAGCAAATACACTGTCCTAAACTCGCCATAAAACATACACATAAAAATTCAGATATATAATGAGAATCACTAAATAGTAAGAATTTTTAATATCGAGACTTATGACAGATTAAACATTATTGTATACAACAGCTAATACAACCTGCTTGTATACAACAGCTAATACAACCTGCTTGTATACAACAGCTAATACAACCTGCTTGTATACAACAGCTAAATTTTACAACAACAACTGCTTGTATACACAGCTAATACAACCTGCTTGTATACAACAGCTAATACAACCTGCTTGTATACAACAGCTAATACAACCTGCTTGTATACAACAGCTAATACAACCTGCTTGTATACAGCAGCTAATACACCTGCTTGTATACACAGCTAATACAACCTGCTTGTATACAACAGCTAATACAACCTGCTTGTATACAGCAGCTAATACAACCTGCTTGTATACAGCAGCTAATACAACCTGCTTGTATACAACAGCTAATACAACCTGCTTGTATACAGCAGCTAATACAACCTGCTTGTATACAACAGCTAATACAACCTGCTTGTATACAGCAGCTAATACAACCTGCTTGTATACAGCAGCTAATACAACCTGCTTGTATACAACAGCTAATACAACCTGCTTGTATACAAACAGCTAATACAACCTGCTTGTATACAAGCAGCTAATACAACCTGCTTGTATACAGCAGCTAATACAACCTGCTTGTATACAACAGCTAATACAACCTGCTTGTATACAGCAGCTAATACAACCTGCTTGTATAACAAACAAGCTAATACAAAACACTGCTTGTATACAACAGCTAATACAACCTGCTTGTATACAGCAGCTAATACAACCTGTTGTATACAACCCTTTACCCGCTAATACAACCTGCTTGTATACAGCAGCTAATACAACCTGCTTGTATACAACAGCTAATACAACCTGCTTGTATACAGCAACTAATACAACCTGCTTGTATACAACAGCTAATACAACTGTTGTATACAGCAACTAATACAACCTGCTTGTATACAACAGCTAATACAACCTGCTTGTATACAGCAGCTAATACAACCTGCTTGTATACAACAGCTAATACAACCTGCTTGTATACAACAGCTAATACAACCTGCTTGTATACAACAGCTAATACAACCTGCTTGTATACAGCAACTAATACAACCTGCTTGTATACAACAGCTAATACAACCTGCTTGTATACAGCAACTAATACAACCTGCTTGTATACAACAGCTAATACAACTTGGGTTCCGTTATACAACAGCTAATACAACCTGCTTGTATAAACAATACAATCTTATAAATACAACCTGCTTGTATACAGCAGCTAATACAACCTGCTTGTATACAACAGCTAATACAACCTGCTTGTATACAGCAGCTAATACAACCTGCTTGTATACAACAGCTAATACAACCTGCTTGTATACAGCAGCTAATACAACCTGCTTGTATACAACAGCTAATACAACCTGCTTGTATAGAAGGTATTTGAGTGAGACATTGTGCATGAGAGTGAGTATAGTTGAGGGTGTATGAGCTAGCAGTGCCTGAGAGGAGGTAGTAGTTCTAGTGGTGCTAGTATTAGTAGCAGCAGCTGCAACTTTAGCTGTTGGTGGTGGCGGTGATGGTGACACTGTAGGTACAGTGGTTAGAATGCTGGTAACAGTGTTGGGTGAGATGGTGGTTGCAGGGGTTGTGACTGGCAACAGTAGTGATGATGGGGAAAGTGATAGATGTGATTGCAACACTGAAGGTGGTAGTAGTAATAGTGGTGGCAGTGGTAATGGTAGTGGTAGTGGTGATGGTGGTGGAGGAGGTAGTGGCAACGTATTGATCTGTCTCGGGAGTGGTGGGTGAGGAGCAGGAACAGCAGCAGCAGCGCCACCACACGCAGTTCCCGATATTACCCCCCCCACCTAGCCTGCCATCCTTCCAGCCAGCCAGCCAGCCAGCCCGCCAGCCAGTCAGCCAGCCTGCCAGCCAGCCTCCGTCTGCTCTCTTCTCCGGGAGTAGACGTCGGGCGTGGGCATTGGTAAGGCAGAGGGGTAGAGTTTAGAGTGGGCTCGGGCACAATGTTGCAGGCGGGGCTGTGGTGGAGTGCCGGGCCGGTGCCACCGTGCTGCGTGCGTCCTCCCTGCTATAAGCTGTTGATGTGATGGCCACGCTGTGCCTCCTCGTCTTGCCCACACCTTGTGTCAGTGCCGCCTCGTACGCCGCCGGACACCGTGTTGGTACTCCCTGCCCTCCACTGCCACCAGTCATCACACTCGCCCTAGAAAATACACTCGTGGAAATAAGAGTTCAGGCAGAAATATCGTCTGGTAGAGCAGTGACGGTGTGTGTAAGGGATCTCCACTGGACATTTTTCAGTGTAATGGTGTGTGTGGGGGAGGGGACAGTGTAGGCGGGTCTCTGACCGATACTGGAGCCTCCACACCTTGAACACACATTTCATATATTATTTTTGAAGTCGTAGTCAAAAAGAAAGACACAAAAATGATCGTTCCCACTTTGTAGGTGGTTAATTTATCGTAGTTACGGTGGGAAGGTGCAAGATGTATCTGTGAGCGTGTAGTGTGTGGTAGTGATGGTGAGTTTAGTGTGATGTATCATGCAGTGTGGTGTGGCAGATATATATTGAGCAGTGACCTAACCTCTCACTCTCTCCATAACTAACTAGTAGTGACGTCACTAAGTGAATATTCCATAATTTTATGGTGCTGTATTGGAGGTTAGTTGTGTTGCTTCGTGCAACAAAACCAACACGTCTCCATCAGTTGTATTCTGTCTGTTGTATTACACAAGTGTTGATGTGCACTAGGGTAAATATTTACTAAGGTTTCTCTCAAGGTTTGTGTTCCTTAGTGGAGGGAGTCCAGGGATCTGTCCTCCAGGTATATATATCTTACTGTGATGCCAAACAACCACAGGGGAGTTGGATGATAGCTCTGGGTCTTTCATGTGGCAAATAATACATCAGGAGCTTGCAGTGTTGGAGAAGTGAGTAGGAAGTCAAAATAGTTTTGTTTAGGGGAAGGATTCTAACTCGAGCTAACATCGTTCTCCTGAACGATACTACTTGCATTTCCTACTCATTTCTGCAACATTGCACGTTCCTGATGTGTTGATTGCAGTACGAAAGGCTTAGAGGTACTATTCAACTCTGTGGCTGTTTTGCATCTTGTATCGCTTATTGGCGATTATTGCATGTCTTACTCTACTTGTGGCTGTCTTGGTACTGTGTCTGTCAGTCTTATTACCGGCCAAGAAAGTGCAGTATTACGCTAGTATTGTCAGACTAGAACACAGACAGATGTGTCTGTTTTAGTGTGTAATAGTAGATGAGGGTGGCAGGTGAGGATCACCAGCAACAACTGCCTGGTTGACCAGGTACACTGTGGCTCCTTGTTCTTCTATACATACTCTGTATAATACTAGAGCCCAAACTCTAGTATTATTATAATCTCAATAACTAAAGATCTGGTGTAACATTTTGTTCTCTCATCACATTTTAACGAACTCATTATTACGCCAGTGCGTTTATAATATTAAATATATCATCAGTATGTGTTAACAATTGATCTTTACATATTTAATACTCTTAATGGAATTATGTATATATTGATCCTGAAAACATATAGACAGTTGCAAGGTAGCCACCGGCAGAGCTTAGTTGTTGGTGGTTTCCAGTTAACCAACGTTAAGCTGCCAGTGGGTGGTCACCAGGCCACCACAGCTATACACATTATAAACTTAGCTGTTAGACACTCAATACATTGCCTGTATTCATTTACAAGGCGGTAGAGTCTGTGTAGGAAAGTGAGACATTTTAAATGATAAAGAAATGTTCATATAAAATGATAGAGGAATGTTAGTAAACGTAAATAAGCTGAATTTTCCCTCTGTTGGGACTGGGCACTGCATTTAACATTTGCTAAATCAAATTAACAAATAACACCTTCATATAAAGGTACACTAACCCTTTAATGGGGTCAGCAATAGCAACCATTAATAAAATCAGTGGGAAGTGTGAGAGTTTAGAGGTACCACAAGAGGTACATAATGGGAAGTATGCAAAACCAGGTGTGTATCCTGTTTTGAAATTAATGCAGCCACTAGCAGTGAGATTGAGCAAGGGAAATGTTACTGGAAATATATGAAAATGGGAAAATGAAGTACATACTGTAAATATAGATCACAGCACTGGTGAAAGAGTAGAATACATGTAAAGAATAGTGAAGCCTAGACAGAAATAGTGACGCGGAGCAGTGATTCACTGACAGAAGACGAAGACAACAACGTCACAAAAACATCAAACTTCGCAATCTGAAGAAATAGTCAGAATTAGAGAGAGAGAGAGAGACAGGAAAACTCAGAATGTCTTACAGTAAACAAAATGGCAGCTACCACAGGAAAAGATGAGAGGGATGAAATATATAAGTATTATGCCAGGGGAATCTGCAAATATGGATTAAGCTGTAAATACCCACACACCAGAAAGTGTTTCATTATGTTGTGAAAGGGACGGCGTTGTTTTCATAAACAGTGCAAGTGTTTTCACCCTAAAATGTGCACATCATCACCATACATCATAAAATGTTACTACTTAAGTTACCCAAAATCTCATGTGAAAATAACACACGGAACTATTTTTTTCACAAACCAGGATTAACCTACAACCACCCCCACTGCCACTAGTACTAGAGAGAACCAGGTGTCATAAGATGGTACAGTACCTCAGGTACTGTAAATCCTCCTTTATGCTAACATTCAGGGTTTAAAAGACACAAAATTAACCATATAAGTGAGCTTCTTACAGAAGCAAATACAATATTTGGAGTGTTCACAGACACACATATAAGGGACGTTTTCGACGGTGTGATACGGGTGAATATTGTAAAATACATAGATATAAGAGTAAGTCGCAGGGAAGAATAGGACTCTTAAGAGACGACTTTGTTACACAAAACTGTTTAAATCATCAAATTCTGCCTGGAAGGACCAGGTATCTGGCAACTATCATTTTATATAAACCATCGTCAGTAGTGCCAGAGGAATTCACAGAACAGTTGGAAGATGGATGGCTGATTGAAAACCGTTGAAAATCCTTCAAAAAATATTCACCTTGGAGATTTGAACCTTGTTAATGTTAAGTGCAAGATGGCAGGCAACAGTATTATACCAGAAATAGTACCAGGAAGCACGTTAGCCCAACAAACACATACCAGAGAACTACTGGGGTTCTGTGAGAAGTTTGTCTTGAACCAACAGATAACAGAGCCTACTAGAAAAGAAAATACGTATACTAGACCTGATTATCAGGAACAATGAGGAATTAACGAAAAACGTAATAATCTCAAATAGAATATATTTGCACTCCGATCACAACCTCATTGAAATTTTGACAAGTATTAATAAATGTGTATGATAGAACGTAAGACAGAGTCAACGTGAAGATATCCGGAACACTTAATGTCAGCAGAGAACTGATTGGACAGAATAAACAAAGAAATATGAGACATCTACAGGTAAAAGGTCCTGAGCATCCGTAACTTGCAGGTCCTGAGCATCCTTAACTTGCAGGTCCTGAACATCCTTAACTCACAGGTCCTGAGCATCCTTAACTTGCAGGTCCTGAACATCCTTAACTCACAGGTCCTGAGCATCCGTAACTTGCAGGTTCTGAACATCCTTAACTCACAAGTCCTGAGCATCCTTAACTTGCAGGTCCTGAACATCCTTAACTCACAGGTCTTGAGCATCCTTGCAGGTCCTGAGCATCCTTAACTTGCAGGTCCTGAACATCCTTAACTTGCAGGTCCTCAGCATCCTTAACTTGCAGGTCCTGAGCATCCTTAACTCATAGGTCCTGAACATCCTTAACTCACAGGTCCTGAGCATCCTTAACTCACAGGTCCTGAGCATCCTTAACTCACAGGTCCTGAACATCCTTAACTCACAGGTCCTGAGCATCCTTAACTTGCAGGTCCTGAACATCCTTATTTCACAGGTCCTGAACATCCTTAACTCACAGGTCCTGAGCATCCTTAACTCACAGGTCCTGAACATCCTTAACTCACAGGTCTTGAGCATCCTTAACTCACAGGTCCTGAGCATCCTTAACTCACAGGTCCTGAACATCCTTAACTCACAGGTCCTGAACATCCTTAACTCACAGGTCCTGAGCATCCTTAACTCACAGGTCCTGAGCATCCTTAACTTGCAGGTCCTGAACATCCTTAACTCACAGGTCCTGAGCATCTTTAACTCACAGGTCCTGAACATCCTTAACTCACAGGTCCTGAGCATCCTTAACTCACAGGTCCTGAGCATCCTTAACTCACAGATCCTGAGCATCCTTAACTCACAGATCCTGAGCATCCTTAACTCACAGGTCCTGAACATCCTTAACTCACAGGTCCTGAACATCCTTAACTCACAGGTCCTGAGCATCTTTAACTCACAGGTCCTGAACATCCTTAACTCACAGGTCCTGAGCATCCTTAACTCACAGGTCCTGAGCATCCTTAACTCACAGATCCTGAGCATCCTTAACTCACAGATCCTGAGCATCCTTAACTCACAGGTCCTGAACATCCTTAACTCACAGGTCCTGAACATCCTTAACTCACAGGTCCTGAACATCCTTAACTCACAGATCCTGAGCATCCTTAACTCACAGGTCCTGAACATCCTTAACTCACAGGTCCTGAACATCCTTAACTCACAGGTCCTGAACATCCTTAACTCACAGGTCCTGAGCATCCTTAACTCACAGATCCTGAGCATCCTTAACTCACAGGTCCTGAACATCCTTAACTCACAGGTCCTGAACATCCTTAACTCACAGATCCTGAGCATCCTTAACTCACAGGTCCTGAACATCCTTAACTCACAGATCCTGAGCATCCTTAACTCACAGGTCCTGAACATCCTTAACTCACAGGTCCTGAACATCCTTAACTCACAGGTCCTGAACATCCTTAACTCACAGGTCCTGAACATCCTTAACTCACAGGTCCTGAACATCCTTAACTCACAGGTCCTGAACATCCTTAACTCACAGGTCCTGAACATCCTTAACTCACAGATCCTGAGCATCCTTAACTCACAGATCCTGAGCATCCTTAACTCACAGGTCCTGAACATCCTTAACTCACAGGTCCTGAACATCCTTAACTCACAGATCCTGAACATCCTTAACTCACAGGTCCTGAACATCCTTAACTCACAGATCCTGAGCATCCTTAACTCACAGGTCCTGAACATCCTTAACTCACAGGTCCTGAACATCCTTAACTCACAGGTCCTGAACATCCTTAACTCACAGGTCCTGAACATCCTTAACTCACAGGTCCTGAACATCCTTAACTCACAGGTCCTGAACATCCTTAACTCACAGGTCCTGAACATCCTTAACTCACAGGTCCTGAACATCCTTAACTCACAGGTCCTGAACATCCTTAACTCACAGGTCCTGAACATCCTTAACTCACAGGTCCTGAACATCCTTAACTCACAGGTCCTGAACATCCTTAACTCACAGGTCCTGAACATCCTTAACTCACAGGTCCTGAACATCCTTAACTCACAGGTCCTGAACATCCTTAACTCACAGGTCATGAACATCCTTAACTCACAGGTCCTGAACATCCTTAACTCACAGGTCCTGAACATCCTTAACTCACAGATCCTGAACATCCTTAACTCAAGTTAGTGTATGGGGAAGCAGGATACAGAAATATATAAGGTTAGTGTAACATATAATGTACTGATAAATCCTACGACATCAGATATTTCAAGAAAATATAGAAGAATGTTTAGAAGCTCAAGAATTATTGAAGTGTTAAAAACAAACATATTTGAAAGATAAGGAGAGATAATGTACACCGAGTGATTACTGATAACCAACACAAACTATAAGAAGCATAAAAGGAATAAATGACCCTTCAAGAAATTTACAAAAAAATCATAAATATTTCTACGTATGCAGAAAATCGAAGTAAAAAAAAAAACTACAAATGGCCCGATATTCACAATTTTACAACAGGTTTGTTGAAAAATAAATGAACAGCATCCTAAGACAAACATATGAAGCAGTGTTCAGTAATCTACTAGACGATACAAGAGTTAAGAATTCAGATCAATTTTTTATTACCTCTGACCACTAAGTAAATCTGACAGAAGCACAAATCCGCCAGAATTCGAAAAGGAAAATAAAAACACAGGTAGACATACAGCATCTGGCCTAATCCGCGAAACATTTATTTATATAGAAGCACCGTCACTATTCTTTGGAAATAAGATTTTTAGATGTTGCCGCCGCAGCGGCGAGTGTATTGTGCGCCTCATATCCATCCTGTGGACTGGTGTACCAGCATGTGGATGTACAAAAGGCCTAACAACTAGGTCCCAAAAGAAACAGCTTAGAGCCAGGCGAAATTTCAGGGGATTTAAAAAATGCAGATGCATGGGGATATAATATTTTTTACACCGTTAGTAGGGAGTGAATTCAGTAAGCAGATTTGGGACTAGTCCCTCTAGAATTTTCCAGAGTCCTGTGTTCCAGAGTCCTAGGTCCAGAGTCCTGTGTTCCAGAGTCCTGTTTGAGAGATTTAAAGTATTTTCATTTAACTGAATTTCAGCAGACTGTGAAGGTTCTGTGTACGTTCTTCAGATTTTCAGTTTGGCCGCCTTTTTAAAAGGGGCTTTAAGATGCGATCAACAGAACGGTGTGACCCCCAGGTCAGACTGTGAGGGCACAAAACCCTACACACACTATCACAGGAATATCACAGTTATACTTGTACATCTCTGAATGTTGCTATGTAGTTCATCATCGGGTATTAATGAGACGAGCAGTTTGTACACACACACACACACACACACACACACACACACACACACACACACACACACACACACACACACACACACACACACACACACACACACACACACACACACACACGCACGTACGCACGCACGCACGTACGCACGCACACTGCGTGAGTTTATGTAAGTATTGTGGATGCCTAACACAGGAAGGGATAATGACTAAGGTAATATTCATGTTTGGTCTCGGCGGAAACCCTGCAGAACTTACCTAATGTTTCACCTTGGAAAACGAACTTGCTCTTCAAAGATTTATGTGAGCACTGCCCACCTCATGAAACATTTCTCCTGAGAAAGAAAACACAAGACACTTTTCCCTATGTTAATATGTGGGGACCTAGACTCTTAACCAACTATAATTGGAGTGCTTAGGTAGTTGTGTGTTTAGGGGTCGTGTCATAGCTCCTGGCCTAGCTTCTTAACTCCTATCAATCGACTTTATCGATTCCTGGTTTCCATGGCCCGATCATAACTCCTATTGAAACCGTGTGTGTTTGTGTGTGTGTGTTTGTGTGTGTGTTTGTGTGTGTGTGTTTGTGTGTGTGTGTTTGTGTGTGTGTGTGTGTGTGTGTGCGTTTGTGTTGTGTGTGTGTGTGTGTGTGTGTGTGTGTGTTGTGTGTGTTGTGTGTGTGTATTTGTGTGTGTGTGTGTGTTGTGTGTGTGTGTGTGTGTGTGTGTGTGTTGTGTGTGTGTGTGTGTGTGTGTTTGTGTGTGTGTGTTTGTGTGTGTGTGTATGTGTGTGTGTGTTGTGTGTATGTGTGTGTGTGTTTGTGTGTTTGTGTGTTTGTTTGTGTGTGTTTGTGTGTTTGTGTGTGTGTGTGTGTTTGTGTGTGTGTTTGTGTGTGTGTGTGTACTCACCTAGTTGTACTCACTTAGTTGAGGTTGCAGGGGTCGAGTCCAAGCTCCTGGCCCCGCCTCTTCACTGGTCGCTACTAGGTCACTCTCCTGAACCATGAGCTTTATCGTATCTCTGCTTAAAGCTATGTATGGATCCTGCCTCCACTACATCGCTTCCCAAACTATTCCACTTCCTGACTACTCTGTGGCTGAAGAAATACTTCCTAACATCCCTTTGATTCATCTGTGTCTTTAGCTTCCAACTGTGTCCCCGTGTTGCTGTGTCCAGTCTCTGGAACATCCTGTCTTTGTTCACCTTGTCAATTCCTCTCAGTATTTTGTAAGTCGTTTTCATGTCCCCCCTATCTCTCCTGTCCTCCAGTGTCGTCAGGTTGATTTCCCTTAACCTCTCCTCATAGGACATACCTTTTAACTCTGGGACTAGTCTTGTTGCAAACCTTTGCACTTTCTCTAGTTCTTTACATGCTTGGCTAGGTGGGTTCCAAACTGATGCCGCATACTCCAATATGGGCCTAACGTACACGGTGTACAGGGTCCTGAACGATTCCTTATTAAGATGTCGGAATGCTGTTCTGAGGTTTGCCAGGCGCCCATATGCTGCAGCAGTTATTTGGTTGATGTGCGCTTCAGGAGATGTGCCTGGTGTTATACTCACTCCAAGATCTTTTTCCTTGAGTGATGTTTGTAGTCTCTGGCCCCCTAGACTGTACTCCGTCTGCGGTCTTCTTTGCCCTTCCCGAATCCTCATGACTTTGCACTTGGTGGGATTGAACTCCAGGAGCCAGTTGCTGGACCAGGTCTGCAGCCTGTCCAGATCCCTTTGTATTTCCGCCTGGTCTTCGATCGAATGAACTCTTCTCATCAACTTCACGTCATCTGCAAACAGGGACACCTCGGAGTTTATTCCTTCCGTCATGTCGTTCACAAATACCAGAAACAGCATTGGTCCTAGGACTGATCCCTGTGGGACCCCGCTGGTCACAGGTGCCCACTCTGACACCTCGCCACGTACCATTACTCGCTGCTGTCTTCCTGACAAGTATTCCCTGATCCATTGCAGTGCCTTCCCTGTTATCCCTGCTTGGTCCTCCAGTTTTTGCACTAATCTCTTGTGTGGTACTGTGTCAAACGCCTTCTTGCAGTCCAAGAAAATGCAATCCACCCACCCCTCTCTCTCTTGTCTTACTGCTGTCACCATGTCATAGAACTCCAGTAGGTGTGTGACACAGGATTTCCCATCCCTGAAACCATGTTGGCTGCTGTTGATGAGATCATTCCTTTCTAGGTGTTCCACCACTCTTCTCCTGATAATCTCTCCATGATTTTGCATACTATACATGTCAGTGACCTGGTCTGTAGGTTAATGCTTCATGTCTGTCTCCTTCTATAAAGATTGGGACTACATTTGCTGTCTTCCATGCCTTAGGCAATCTCCCTGTTTCGATAGATGTATTGAATATTGTTGTTAGGGGTACACATAGCGCCTCTGCTCCCTCTCTCAATATCCATGGGGAGATGTTATCTGGCCCCATTGCCTTTGAGGTATCTAGCTCACTCAGAAGCCTCTTCACTTCTTCCTCGGTTGTGTGCACTGTGTCCAGCACATGGTGGTGTGCCCCACCTCTCCGTCTTTCTGGAGCCCTTCTGTCTCCTCTGTGAACACTTCTTTGAATCTCTTGTTGAGTTCCTCACATACTTCACGGTCATTTCTTGTTGTCTCTCCTCCTTCCTTCCTTAGCCTGATTACCTGGTCCTTGACTGTTGTTTTCCTCCTAATGTGGCTGTACAACAGTTTCGGGTCAGATTTGGCTTTCGCTGCTATGTCATTTTCATATTGTCTTTGGGCCTCCCGTCTTATCTGTGCATATTCGTTTCTGGCTCTACGACTGCTCTCCTTATTCTCCTGGGTCCTTTGCCTTCTATATTTCTTCCATTCCCTAGCACACTTGGTTTTTGTCTCCCTGCACGTTTGGGTAAACCATGGGCTCATCCTGGCTTTTTCATTATTCCTGTTACCCTTGGGTACAAACCTCTCCTCAGCCTCCTTGCATTTTGTTGCTACATATTCCATCATCTCATTAACTGGCTTCCCTGCCAGTTCTCTGTCCCACTGGAACCCCGTTCAGGAAGTTCCTCATTCCTGTGTAGTCCCCTTTCTTGTAGTTTGGCTTCATTCGTCCTGGCCTTCCTGCTTCTCCCTCCACTTGTAGCTCTACTGTGTATTCGAAGCTTAAAACCACATGGTCACTGGCCCCAAGGGGTCTTTCATATGTAATGTCCTCGATATCTGCACTACTCAAGGTGAATACTAAGTCCAGCCTTGCTGGTTCATCCTCTCCTCTCTCTCTCTTGTAGTGTCCCTTACGTGTTGGTACATGAAGTTTTCCAGTACCACCTCCATCATCTTAGCCCTCCATGTATCTTGGCCCCCATGCGGGTCAAAGTTTTCCCAATCGATCTCCTTGTGGTTAAAGTCACCCATGATCAGGAGCTTTGCCCTGCATGCATGAGCTCTTCTGGCCACTGTAGCCAGTGTGTCAGCCATTGCTCTATTGCTCTCGTCGTACTCTTGCCTTGGCCTCCTGCTGTTCTGTGGTGGGTTATACATCACTGCTATTACCACCTTGGGACCTCCAGAGTGAAGCGTTCCCGCTATGTAATCACTTTCTTCTCCGCTGTCTCCTCTCTCCAGCTCATCAAAATTCCAGCGATTTTTGATCAGCAATGCCACTCCTCCACCCCCCTGTTCCCTCTGTCTTTCCTCAGGATTTGGTATCCCGTTGGAAAGATGGCATCTGTTATCATACCTGTAAGCTTGGTTTCTGTGAGAGCTATGATGTCCGGTGATGCCTCTTTGACTCTTTCATGCCACTCCTCCCACTTATTTGTTATTCCATCAGCATTTGTGTACCATACCTTCAGTTTCCTTTCCAACACTGTGGTTTGGGGGGCCTGTGAG